GGCCCCCCCCCCCCCCCGATATAATAATAATTCTGACTTTAAAGAAATAAATAATCTATAATGTATTCGAAATGTACATACATTTTCGAAAGAAAAATTCGTATTTCAATTGAATATCATTTATTATTTCAATTAACTTACAATGAAAAAATTGAAGTAACGTAAACGTTTTAGAATATTGTCTAACTTTAGGATTGAACAAAATTGAACAGTATTTTTGCCTATCATTGTGTAAATTTTAAATTGAACAAAATTAAACGTTTTTTGTAACTTAAATCGTTTAAGTCTGAAATTGAACAAAATTGAACATAATTTATTACCTAAATTGTGTAGTTTGTCATGATATAAAAGTTAATATTTAATTATTATTATTTTGCTTCAAAATTAACACTAGAATTTTGATTCAAATTGTTAAATTGAAAATTAAAATGAAAAGAATTTTGATGGGCATTCGAAGTACTAGGTGTGGGGTCATTTTTCTCAGCATTCAATGGTCTTGATTTCTTATTCTGTGGTGCGTCGTTGTCATCAAGTGAATTAATAATTTTTTCGGAAATTCTTTGTTTGTTCTGAATCGAGTTTTCGATATATCCTTCTGCTACTGTATTTGACTGCCATCCACCGTGGCGTTTTAGTGTTGTTATGTTCGCTCCCGTATCAGCCAATAATGTCGCGGAAGTTCTGCGAAAACTGTACCCGGTATATAACGTTGCATTCGGTAGTTGCAGATATTCTGCAATTTTTTGAGGCATTTTACCAATAGTATTTTTGCCTATCGGTTGGTTAATGCATTTTCCATTTCTATAGCATAGGAAAAAATTGTCTATTGTCTTCTTATTTGGTCTGGACTTTATATATTTCATTATGATTTGTAAATATTTATTTTCCACTGTAAATGTCCTTGGTTTTGTTTTTGTTTCAAGAAGCGTAATTACGCCAAGTGATTTCATAATTTTAATATCGTTTATTTTTAAGTTGCATAATTCACCTCCTCGACAAGCTCCCGTAATGCCGAGGATTAACGCAACCTTGAAAAAAAGGAAATATTTCGTAGGGATTTTAAAAAATTCTACTTTTTTAAATTAGAAATTTTAAAATCGATAAAATAATATTTTTTTTCATTTTGGCAATATATTAGAATTTTAGGTGATAAGTTATGCTAGAAAAAACTTGGAAACTTTCAGCAATGTAAATTACGATGAGCAAAAATTTCACTTCTCCTTCCCCTTAAGGTGACTCTCCGGCCAAAATGATCAGAGAGCCATCTTAACATACATGTGCAAAATATAAAATTAATTATTATAATATTAATATTAATAGTATATTATGCACAGGTGTGCGTGAAGTTTGTTTCTATACCGAAATTCGCAAAAATATATATTTCCTTACGAGTGCACTGTATTATACAATTATAAATTCGC